GATCAGGTGGAAGAGCTCCAGAGTTTGCAAATCGAGCGGCCTCTGAATTCGGATAGGGCGAGGGCAACTTGTCTGTAATACGACCCGGTCTCTCAAACATCTTTCCCTCCTCGTCTGGCCCGTCTGTCACCAAAATCTGTAAGGAAGGGTTTTGGTCTAGTTTAGGGCATCAGCTTAGGATCTATAGCTCTTAAGCCCATTCGGGAAAGCCCTTTCAAGCACGCATTATGGGTAGAAAAATATAATTATAGTGACCTAGAAACCTAGAATAAGAAGTCTACAAGAGAACTCATTTATAATAAATTAAGTGAGCCGTTCATCAAAATCAATATTTCCAATGTACATTTTGCACAAATGCATATAAAGCTTTCACCTTGACCCTGGCGGTATAAAGTGTTTCGAAATTCGCTTAACTCCACCTTATTTCCTATTAGTGTAGAAATAGGTCTTTTAAATGAAGTATATTGGTTGATTCAGTAAAATATATTCACGTAGCATGCTTAGAAGATTCACCGGTCGTCAGAACCTCGAATTTATCATAAAAACAGTAGCCTCAGATAGACGGGGAATTTCTTAAATGAAAAAGTAGTAACAAATTAATAATTGAATCCGTGACCATTATGCACATCAAGAAGAAGCGAAAGTACTCCAATACTATTTAAGCCGAGTAAGAAAAATACTTAGCTAGATAGTTAACCCCATTAATGGAAGTGCTGCAAACGCTTGATTTGAGTAGACCGAAGGTATTCTGCAGCCTCTCATATAAGCTCGCAATCTACCACACCTTTTCGATGTTCAGAAATACTCACTTCGGCCGACCACCAATGGCTAAGAAAAGCTGCCAGAGTAGAAAGTAGCGATTAAAGTGCCCAATGGATCCATTAATATGGGATTATCAAGTGGACATTGTAGTCTCAAGTACTGCACCCACAAAATGTAGTATTCACTTCCAAATTAATAATTTTTCGAACTCAATTTAAGCACAAAGGTTAATAACTCGGTATAATTTAAAGCTTGTCTCACCAACAATGTAAGCGAGATGTTAAGTAAAGGAAACACTTTTATAACATTAAATATGTTCTCATGTATTTTTCGGAAATAACAGATAGATCAACATCTTCCTCGTTTCTACAAGTTGAATTGCTGGTCAAAAAAAGATAATAGAACATAGGATATTGAGCGTTTGCATTACAATTTTAACTAATCCGAATTTATTAACTTAATTAAGTAGAGCTAATGGCATATAAATACGATAGTGACAACAATACGAGTCAATATCTAAGCCACTTCCCTTAGGAACCCAAATTATTACAAATACCAAATAAAAACGTATTAACCTCAGCACATTCGGCCTTTGTCTCCTCTGTAGTAAGAACATGGTCAATAAGCTGACGATAGACGAGGAATTTCATTGAGTGACAGGCAGCACAGACTTCCTTGTAGACCTGATAGCCGCGGCGGATTGATGCGTGATCGTAAGAAGACAAGGCACCTCTATGGGGCCAATCCAATTTTGTTGGATGAACTATCAACTCTGTTGCTAGAACGGGCGTTGCTAAGGCAACTGCTCCAACGGCGGTTGCACCGGCAACGATGCATAGACGCTTACTCAAGGAGGTTGAGGGCTAAAAGAAAGATTTGCCTCGAGTAATTCTTAGTGAAGGAGTTTTCGTTTTTTAATTTTTGAGACATAAAATTTTCATCAATTAAGACCACTTGCTACATTTCGAGAAAATTTATCGGCAAATTATGTACTAATGGTAGGTTAATGCATTATCTGCCTAAAGTATTAAATTAATAGCAGCCAAACTTTTAAGATAAAAACGGAATAACAAAGAGGTACAGTCGCAGCTTATAAAAATAAAGGAGTCTTTTATTTAAATTTACTCATAGAAAATAAATTCATGAATGTCTCAGTAACGGTGGTAATGTCATGCAAAAACACGTGAAAGTGAAATATGCTTCACATGCTGCAGCAAAAGATAATTTATGGATTAATTAATAAAAATTAAACTCTTAAGTTAAAAAATGATTATAAACTAACATTAGAAGACCGAATCCGCGCTATGACATTTGATAAGAACCCTCGGAACCCTGCAGCCATGTTTATTTGAGTACGCCGCGGGAAGGAAATTATCAACGTATTTTACCTAGAACTTAACCCTATTATATGGCGATTATGACCATCTCCCAGATGCTAATATTGCGAAGAGAATTCACATACTTTGACATTTTGTAAAATTTAATACAATATTAGTTTTTAAAAATTCCTTTATTTCTTATTACAATGTATTTTTCATCTCAATTGGAGGACAGGGAGGTGGGATACTCATAGCAGCTAATTCGCATTATTTGAAAAGCTGGTTAAAGTAAAAACTAGCAGTGATTTTCAAGTACGTTGCTTAAATTTTAAAAATTTTTATATTTATTTCATGACGCGGGACGTTAATAACTATGATGTAGAATAATTGTTCATTCTTAAATTTGACACCCTTGTAAATATGGCCATGTGAACCTTATAATATGAAGGCACACTAGGAATTTCCGAAATATCCTAATTGATTAAACTCCCATTTAATGAAATTTGAATGTCAATTTCCGAAAATGTTCAATTCCTCTGTGATGATCCTTTATTTACATGTTTCATATTTTGCGATTAAACTCCGTTACAAGATGATTTGACCTAAAAATAAAACTGATAAACTTAGACTATATTTCGAGAGTAAGCTTGATTTTTTTTTCAATTTACCATCAATCATCAAGAACTAAACATGTCTAAGAAGTGTGACTCAAAATGTCAAGCGATTGCTGATTTTAGGTAGAACATTCTCTCTAATAGATATTTGATGATATATTTTCATAGTATTTTGCTGCGTTGTTTATCCTAACTCTGGATCATATATAAATTTTAACACATCTTACTTATAAAGACTAGGTTTTTAAGATTATTTAATGGAGAGATATTTCATCAAACCTTTATTACTCTATCTACTAGTTTTAAAATGCGCAGATAATTATTAATGCAAATACAACTTCTGATATGGTGGTCATAAAAATTGTGCACATCATAAAATATTTTAAATAAATTTCTTTCTTATAAAGGTATGACTACGAATCTCGAATATACAGGGTCGTACCTCAGTTATTCTTGCTTAAAAATCGCCTATGTATGACTGAGAAAACTTTCTAAGCTATTTTCACTCCTTGCCTTTACGATATCCATTGAAATCAAATAGGTTACTAAAAACTTATATTAAAAGATAATTAGAAACAAAAGCGAAAATGAATAGGCTAATCAGAAAAGAATAAAGTTTGATAAGTCGGCGCAAGATATATTTAATGCGGTAGGTTGTGTAATGGGGTAAATTTTAATCTGTTTACTTTATATAGCTCTTGAAAGCTAATATGTTAGGCATGAGATCATTTTGATGTGTGAGGGATGAAAAACGGACAAAAATAAAAATGAGTGCCGATGGGGAGAGCAAACGGCCATTTCTTCCCATGCTCACTTGCCTTCATCAAGAGCAATAACGATTGTGCTGTCTGTTTAAGTCAATGATCTCACAGAGCTCCCACTTCGGCTTTCACGTTGCTCTGAGCCACATCCTAACTTTGGTCCAACAAGGTTATGAGCCTATGCAAAACCCCTTGGGTTGTATACAATTGTAAATTGGTGATATTCGTGGTGAAATTGGAGGAGCTATCGACACCACAAGTGGAGCTCAATAACAGGCGTGCTGGTTGAGAAGGCAATGCTAGTAATTTAACCGGTGTACAACTGGGAATGTAGATGAGGCCACTGCATACGGACGTAAAAATTATTCACGAAAGTTTTAAATATGTTTGTTTCAATGGAATTAATTTTTATTTGAAATAAATTTATATTATCGGTACATTCTCCTTGATCTATTTCTTTTCCCCATAAGACTCTAAGGACGATCTTGACGTCCACTTAGACAGCCATTAGTACTATGAAACACGACGAAACATAACTCTCTATTCTAACCGTGGATGGATGCGTACGTGTGATCCTTTTCATTACAAAGATTAATCATAACTCAATTAGGTCTGATACCCACTGATATTGACCAATTGAAAGTAAGTAGCAGCTATCTCCGTTCTGCCAAATTATGGTTATGTTAGCTGTTCATTATCTTGTGCAATTATTCAGTCTTAATAACGTGATGAAAATATCTTACGTAGTAAACCCAACCACCTAGTTAAACAATTTGTCCATAAGTTCGAGAGATCGAGGACAAAAACCCTCTCAGTAATCCAGATGACGAGACGCCGAATTCAAATGTAGGAAAGTGTGTTACCCATTGAGTAAATATCGGAAAATTCGAGTTCAAAATATATACCGTAATCCTATTTTCAACAACTTTAAGAACCCTTCTCTTTTTTAAATTTACCATTAATAAATTCCAGTTGTATGGAGTCGATGAAACGTTCCCATCTTATCTCCCTGTGAGTAAGATAAAAAAGGGCCAGTGTGAATGCAGAAAGGTAAATCAGTACATTATTTAGTTAAAAGTAGTAAACTCCGAAAATTACGATAGGTTGCTGAACATCCAATAGTCTACTGCATCGCGAGCTAAAAGCGTTCACCATGAACACCAGCACGATTCAACATGCTTTGAGCAGCTTTTGCCAATTCAATTTTTATGATTTCCACCATTTTATTAGGAATGCTCATTTCCCAACGCTTCGTTGCAGTTTCGCCCTGTCCGTAGGCTGTAAGGTTCGAATCGAGCTAGCTTTAGACTCGCACATCGCTTCATTCGATCTTCAGTTGGGAGAATCTTCTTGACATAGTCTCGTAAATACGTTGAATATTTTCCACTGAACAAACCGTATGTGTAAGATAACGATTAGCACTAGTAACTGAACCTATAGCTCTAAATTGGGAAATCATTTTCCGAACACCACTTTTAGCAAGAGCAACTGCCGGCTGATATTTGGAGGTGAAATTATTTCCATCCAAAGAAGATTCAGCAATATTTATTTATCTCAAATGGCGGACTTTATGATACTTCTCATTAGCCCTTTAGCTGACTTCGGGCTACACAGTGGGGTGGGGGGGGGGGGGGGGGGGAGACAGCAAATTGAGAAAAAATAGAGAGGAGGGAACAGAAAAGTGATTTAAGGATGTAAAAGAGACAGACAGACAGACACCAAGGTAGAGAAAAAAGTAAGGTAAGGTGAGAACTGTGAAAGTGGTGGAATATGACATACAGCGGGGTCATGGTAGCTTGAAGTGAGTAGTCAACTGCTGGTTAATAGTTTCAGCAATATACACCATTTGTTAGATTGAGAACGACATTCTGCAGGCCTGTGTTCACAACCGATATTAGAAAATTAAAATTCAATATTGGACAATGCGGAAGTAATAAGAAATTGACGCTGGAAAATGCGTGCTTCACACAACTGCTCAATATTACTTTCAGTGGGATAATGGACACGAGACCACCTCTACCCCTGTCAAACTGGTAGGTTACAAGTATAGAAGTATCTGGAATGACTGAGAGTTGGACATTAACTAATGTTAGCTTACGCAATTTATGGTTGCTGGATATCAAAAGTGGAACATACACCCCCACTTTCCACCTATGACTTTTATGGCAGGGTATGGAAACCGAACTTTAAATTTCTAATTTTTCAACGTTCCACCACCAGAGAACTATTTATCCTTCTCGGATGGCCACCACCATCCACTAAGGAACCCTCAATGAGCTTTGATGATGTGGTGTCTAAATCATGTCAGTTAACATTAGTTAACCCCATAATTTACAAAGTACATATGTTCTGAGTCTGATGACCAACTACCCCATTGCTCAAATAACCTCTTGCAGTGGAAAAGTACCTCCCTTATCGGTTTAAATTGGCCAGAATGCTTTAACATCATTTTAAAATAAACATCAGCGCGTGCAATGACACATAAATCCCATCCTAGCCAATCAGCATAGCCTCAAATCGTGCCATCCAATTACCACTCGCGGAGGCATGTGATCGATGTAAGCTTCGCGTACGCGCAGCTCTTGGCGAACCAGTGTAATTTTGTAGGAACAGCGCTAACACACCAGCTGTGGGGCTTTGCTATTAAAAGTGCTACGGACCTTCACAAATTAATTCAACTTTAACGCAATGGCCAAGAATGGAGTAGGTAAGGCTCCTGGTGACGGCGTTGGCAACGGGGAGCCACGTTTGAGACATCAGAGAAAGCGGCCCAGGCGATGCGCGATCGGTTGCTACCATGCTAGTGCCTTCATTCTCGCTATTGGAATTGTTGTGGCCTTATCGGGAATTTGCAGTAGCAGACTTTTCGAGATCTTTCTTTATGATAATCGTCATCCTCCCATGTTCCATCACCTATCCATCCATGTGGGTCTTTTCGATTCTCGGGGCGAAAAAATCTCATATGGGGTGAATCCAACTGTTGAAGAACTCGAATATCCACCAAACCTCGATGGTATGCTCCGTATTTGTTAAAATTTCAAAAAAAATCTATTTCCTTGCATTTACTTAACATTGTGTAATTTTCATTGGTCAATAACATTTCGGGCATATTGGCTATTAGAGCTTTCGTCCAATCAAACCCGAGATGAATAATTCATTTCATTTTTGTTGTCTAAAATTTTCTCTGTAAGTTTTTATGTGATTTCTCAATGTAGTCTCACATTTGCTGTTGAAGGAATATACGCACTTGAACCAGTTGCTGGACTCGATATAATATCTACATCAAGAACTTAGCCAGTAATTAATACATCGAAATAAAAGTGGAAGTGATTTGAAATTGCGATTCAATTCATCTAGTGAACTAATATTTGTAATGAATAAAGCGTGCCATTTGAATACAAGGCTTTTAACTTTGGAAGTTGAAAAATCAGTTGAACTGTACCTTATCTATAGTTTCATTCATTGTCCTTTCGCACCCAATGCATATTTGGAAACATTTCTAAGATTTCAAATGTAGATTATCATTGAAAATGTTTTCAATTGGAAATTATTATTTTCATAAGGATATCATCCCTTACGTGCCAATATTCAGTTTCTCATGTAATGCAGTGGCCGTCAACTGAAATCACTCTAAAATGAGAGCGAGAAAACGCATCTTTTGGCTATAAAAGTATGCTCACTTGGGTATATTGTGATCAGTAGGAAATGATTGGCTACCTGAGTAGCCAATCATTGTATCAGTGACGATAAGGTATTAGAAACACGAAAATCGATCATCTTCAGTTCAAGATGTGCGTAGCTTATGAATTTCATTCAGGTGCTCTGACATTTTCAGCCCTTCTTAATAATTAAATAGAATGTGATTTGTCCAAAGTCACCAAGGCATTGCTATGGTGTTTGCAAACGTAAATTGCTTTTTTACTGGTAGAGCATCTTCCACTTTTGTGCAGGCTATATCTCTTCATTTTTTTCCTAAGTTTAACTTTTGTTAATTTGCTTTTAATTCAGTCTGAAGGCTCAACATTTTCACTGTTAAGGAACAAAATAACTGTAGGATAAGTCATTAAGGATGAGATCTTTCTTGGGTATTGTTTGTGGTGCTAACCTTCGCACTTTAGCAGAAGAAGTGGCGATGTTTAAGGCATTCTAGATTTTGAAACCGCACCTCAATTGAATCGTTTCAGTAGGTAATTTGCTGGATGATCACATCTCACACCCTTGCTCTTTAGTATATCATTACACAGGTATGTATGTCTTCTTAAATCTCTACATATGTATGTGTGTGTGTGTATATAGCTAAATCAATTGGTTTGTTTGAAGTGACTCACTTTTGAGCGGTTTAATCTGGTCTGTGAAACCCTTTATGATGTAAACTTCTTCTAGTTTTTCTTATCGGTGAAACGTCTGTCGAGTCAGAGCACACGGGTTAGGTATCCGCCTTAAGTGGCAGCTAATATGATTTGAACCAGTTCTTGTTTCATCTGATGTCACTAGCCTTAGTCACCGCCCCAATTCTGAAGCATTTACCTAAAACTATGAGATTGAGATGGTCGATAATAATGGGTACTATGACTGAGGAATATGGCTACTTTCACCTTAACTGCAATAATGATGTTTATGGAAGTGAATGGTTGGAAGAAGTTGAAAACTCAACCTAAATCGACTAATCACCGTGACGGTATTCGCAATCCCACACAATCTTCCTTCGCCCTTTATTCATCTTCAGTGAATCAGCTGCATGCCAATGTTTGAAGCGTGTGATTTAAGAAAGATTTAATTACAGAATGTCTTATAGACGATTAAGACGAGTAAGATTAAAAATTCGGGAGGCAGCCCAAGGAAGGAGAACAACCACCTTACCCCGTCGGTCTACTATACGCCCATTTTGCTCTATTTGGTTAGTCTTTCTCCATTGGCTGATACTTGAGCTTTCTTCCAATTCCTCTGTGCTTGAAGGCTGAACTATTTCACCCACGATGGCCCATGCATATATATGTACTAAAAAGGAGCTGCTCGGCTGATTTCCGAGTTCTTTTAACAACTTTGGAAGAAATCAACGCTTGCGCACTCAATAGGAATGACATTAACAATAGGATATACTTGGCGATGTCTTCCTGTATTTGCTTATATAGATCTCAATATATATATATTTATGCATTTTCTATCCTCTACACCTCTGAGTTGAAGATATTTTATTGCAAACAATGCTTGGAAGGTTTTTGTGGCCTTGGTAGACTCACAGCATTGTGTTCTCATATAAATGGGTTTTTAACCTTATCAATTTTCATCGGTTTTTATCATTGTTAGTTTCCATATATGTTATTGTCAATTAAAATAGTGGCTTCGAAAAAATTCAAGCTGCTTTCAGTTTTGTTAAGTAGTACATTTTCTGTATATTTTAGAACCCAGGTGGTTAACAGCCAAGGCGGCTGCAGTGATTGGTCTGATCTTCGGTCTGGTGGCCTTGATTATTCACTTGGTGCTTGCTTGTTGCGTCCGTGGAAGGGAGGATAAACCATGGGGAAACGTCGCTGTGGAGGTTCTCTGCTACCTCATTACCGGTCAGTGTGTGATTCAACATTAAATCCATTTTTAAAAAGTAGTAAAGAATCTTAGGAAAGATTAATTGAATTTTTTCGATTTCTATCGTCTCGATTTTACAGTATGCTAAAGTAGCATCGCTATTCTAAAGTGTACGAACAATTTTTGGTCCCATTTGATAATTGTTTCAGAACAGCTCATCATAGAGGGTTTACTTTGTGAAACATCCATTGGAGTAGGGGGAGGGGGATTTTGAATCCTGCCACCCTTTATCAGCCAGACATGGCGTTCTTTGTGAATACAGAAAGGTAAATCAGTGTGTGTGTGTCTGTTTTTTGAAAGTAGTGAATACAGGACATTGCGAATAGCAACGTGGACTGTGCATTTAATTCTTCACTTCAAGTCATGAAAACGTTAATCACGAACTCCGATACACAATTCACTATGTCTCTTTTATTTCGGTCACACTGTGCATGAAATTGGTATTCCTCAGAGTATTTTGACAATCAGAGATGCAGTTCATTTGTTACTTGGAAAAGGATAAGGGAATTTAGTTTGGAGGAATTGAGGTTTCCGATTCTTTATTACTCGTGTCAGAAGAATGTGAACCATTTCTTTTTTTCCATTTGTGACTTGGAAAAGGGTAAGGGGACTTCTAAATCCTCTCCATTGTACTTGATGTCAAGGTTACGCAAGCCAATCTTGAATACACTAGTGTCTGTGAATATTCACACAAACTGTTAATTTTGCATTTTTCTGTTTGTGGTAGAATTCCCTCGAATTGTAGTCTACGATTTTCATTTCGATTGACTAAATTATTTTGTTGAAATTTCCCCTCTACTAAACCGATAGCTTAAACAAACAAAGAGGTCATTTCAACAAAATAGCTAATAATGTTTGTGACTTTTCCCTTAAGGCATATGTTGAAGTAATTGAATCAGTTCTGGTAGTTACCAAGTTGGGAGGAGCGTAATGGGCCAATTCTAGATTTCTGTAGGCTTATTGATTGTTGCGATTTATTTATCTTGGAATGCGATGCAATTATAATGGCTCAGCAGATTTTTAAGTCGACCTTACTGCTCAAAAATGCCAAAGTAAAAGTTCGGCAAGAACGGCATCGAAGTATCCATAAAGCTTGGAATGTATTTTGTTGTGCTGTTGGAAACCCACCTTCTTTTGCCACAATTTAGGTTTCCACTCGATGTTGCTAGACCAACGGCAGATGAAAAGGTTGGTGCAAGGAGGAGATAGCGATCACTCTACGCATTGTTTTTTTTCTATTGATGAGAATTTTAGTCTTTTTTATCACAATTTACATGTGGAAGATCTAGTAGGGGGGGGGGGGGTTAGGTGTCATCTTTTCCCCCTAACTCTTCTTCAGTCCATGCTTTCTCCCTCCCACCAATCTTCATTATGACAATCGGTCAGGTGGGTGAGTAGTTAAGGCAGTGTTGAAGGAGGGTGGTAACTTCACTCAAGAGCCACATAACTTGCTAAATAAATTAGTTGCAAACTCACCATAGCCCTCCTGAGGTCATTGCAGATGTTAAATGTGTCAATTAACGATAGACAGTCGTCTGGCCAATAGAGACGCTTGTAAAGATTACCACCGCTCAATGAATATTTTGTCTCCATGGCTGTCAGGACCATCATGGTAAGGCTGGAAGGTTGTTATGCGAATTGGTCATCCCGAAACAACACTAGAACTCTTTGAAGCTGAGTTTATACATTGGCATTGTTTCGCTTTTATTGTTAAAAGCAAACCCTGCCTTATTTCATTACTCAAGTGTCATTTTCCCTTTATTTTGGACGACTCTTTGGGGCTACTGCTATTTTCTTATCGCCAATTTGTCGTCGTCGAAGTTTTTGCTTATAGATTCTTGCTGACAGTTTTTTCTTCATTTCCATTGAATTGATTGTAGTCAGGACTACTTTACACTGTAATGGATATTGGTTAAGAAACTTCATCCCAAGATGTTTATCTATTTGAGTAAATGCAATCCCAAAATGAAATGAATCCCAGCTATGAGTTAATGTCAAAAAGACCTGGTAAATTGTGTCACCAAATCTGCTTGGGGAACTCTAAGTAGTTCTGAATTGGATTTGAGAATTTTCATCTGGGGCAAAATCCTCTAATTTCAAAATTCACATCTCATTATCCTTATTGATTCTTTTGTTTTTTAAACAACCCGAATTTGAAACGGCTATAATCATAATCAAGTTGTTATTTTATATTTCAGTTATCGGCTTGCTTGTCAGTCTCAGTTTGGCCGAATCCGAAATTGAAGGTGTACATAACCACGGTGATGAAACTCTTCTTCGCATGCTTGAAGCCAACGAGCTGCTAAGAAATGGCACTGAAATTTATCGATCCGCAATTCCCGTGAGTACTGTTGGCGAACGAGATGTTCCGCCGTTGCCACTACAAAATGCTGTTGCTGAGTTTAATCTAGTACTCTCCGAACCCCGACAAAGCTTCTACGTCCTGATTGCTGCTGATTTCATCTGCCTCCTGGCCTTTCTTATGGCTCTTGTCTATTTTGTGCGACTATCCGAACGTGAAGAACAGTCGAGAAAGCAACTGCAAAAGGCTAAGGTCGCTAAGCCAATTTCCGAGCGTCCAACTGTGTAAAATTAACTTGCTACTTATATACTGTCAGTAACAAGAAAGATATGATTATTTATTCATGACTATTAAGTGTTATGCTCATTTGAATTTGCATTATCTGACGAATTTTGTGGAGCTGTTTTGCCTAGCCCGTGTTAAATCAGTGATTATGCATAACCCGCTAAAGTACGAGCTATGATTACATGTGCTCCCTAACTCGTGATGCAGTTTTTTTTATTTCAGGGTGAAAATGGGATAATAAAATCAGTCCAATTGTTATATGATTGATTAATTAAGTAATGGGATGCATTTAGCGCTTGGGAGTCTTTGAAATCGACGTGGGAATGAAGTTCGGTAGAAATAAAAATTTGTCCTCAGCCTAAAAGTAAATACCAATAACCCAGTTGACCTTAAACGCTAGGAGGCCACAGGTGGGAAGGTACCTAAAGTCCCTTTCGGAGCTTATGCGATTGATCTGGTATTAATAGCCCTAAGGTGGATTGTTCTAGATAAAAGGGCGATCGGTAAACTGTTCGTCAGATGATGCTAAAGTAAATGTTGCATGCTGGTAGAGAAGATTTCACGGGACTAGGCATCAAGTTTACCCATTTTGAAGGGGAGAGAGAAGAGAGGTAAGATTGTGGGAGCCAGGTGTCTCTAAACCGGAGCAAAAGCTGGGCCGGAATGAGATCAATTAGGGAGCAAAAATCGATATCCTAAAGGATGCATTTTCCCTGCCCTGGAGGTGAGTAATGACACTGCTTGTGAAAGCAATATAGCGTAAAAATAAGTTCACCCATAGAGGTTTGGAATAAAGAAAGCTACTGATTAGAAAAATATGAAGATAAATACACTGGCTATACTGAAAAACCTTCGGCTTGCCATCTGACAAAGTCCATGCAAGGAATAGTGATATGATAATTATTGAAATCCCATTTACCAGAAAAAAACCTAGATATTTACAAACAGGGGGTTGATTTAAGTATTCTAAAGCAGATGCAACCCTGATGGCCCTGTAGAAAACTGCTTCAAAATTGGCTTTTGAAGTTTGAAAGACAGAGCTCGTTTGCCAAAACACCAGTTCCGAGTCGATAAAGCCTAATTTCAAATCAGTTCATTTAAAACTAGGCAGTCCAGCATAAATATGTTCTTTGATAAGACCCTGCGTTCAAATAAAAACCTTTAAAGCTTCGAAAATTCGGGTTAAATGATAAGGAACCAGAAAAAATATCCAGATAAACCTGTAGATTTTCGCCTAATCTCCAGACGCCTGCCATATGAACAGCTTTACAAAACAATTAAAAGGTAGACAATTGCGGCTCTGAAGTCAACTACTTAAAGAAATAGCTGAACGCACACATATAGGACCCAGGTGCCATGATGATTTCAGAGTCCAGAAACAGTAAACGTAAGCGACAGAGCATTTAATACGAAAAGCAAGACCTTTCGGTCAACTAATTCAGCTAGAATTGACAGCAAAACCGGACAACTAATCAATGGATGGAGAAAAACTAAGAGATGAGGGAATCCGAAACTCGCTTGCTAATAGTAGAAATAATAGACTTCTGTTTACGTATTGACTCGGGAACCATAAATTTGAGTCACACAAAAGCTCTGAACAACCGATTGGAATTCACCTAAACCAGGCCAACTGGCGAACTTAGCAAGGCCATGGAAGCGTAATCAAAACACCTGTAAAACCTAACCAACAGACCAACATGAAATTACATTCAGTTGAAAAAGAATTCAATACGCAATACGCGATTGAGGACAATGAGACGAAAATCACTCTCGGAGTAGTAATTTTCCTGGAGGATTTAAACCCCAAAGCTAGCTTGCAAGATGGTTGCTCATTTACATCGACTGAGACAGGAAGGCTCTTATTGGTCAAGTAAAGTGCGTACGTGTAAACACATGAGTGCATAGACTAGAAAGCTAAGCCATATATGGCCACTGAGCTCACATTGGTTGCTTTAGGTGCGGTCGTATGCGTGAAGTTGTGAAAACACTGAGTAATCGGACAAAGGGCTAGCATGGATAATCGACTAGCATCCAGGACTGTTTCGGAAACGAGCAAGAACAAAGGTTTAGTGGGCCCGGCAATTACCCTAATGGGCCGAATCCAGTGGCGATTTTAACAACTCCAAGCACATTCCACTAATTGGGGCACTATGGCGCAGTCACTCAGCCTCATAAAGCTTAGACATCAAAAGGGGGACACAAACCCCACACAAACTAATTGCTACAAGTACAAAGGGTGTCAGTTGGCACTAATACCCTCTAATAAATTAAGTACACTGAACTTAAGGGGTGCAGACGTCACGAGACAGCAAGCACTCAACGAACCAGGGATAATATACCAAGAAATTAAAAGAACAAGATTCACAAGGGGTGGGACAATGTATTGATCGTTTTCATGTAAAAACAAAATGCGGGAAAACACGATAGCGATTTAGAAGCATTTTCTGTGGACAATGCTTGGGCCGGACTCGTCGTATTCCTGCTTAGAAATCCACATCTGTTGGAATGTAGAAAGAGAAGCGAGAATAGAGCCACCGATCCAGACAGAGTATTTACGTTCTGGTGGGGCAACAATCTTGATCTTCATGGTGCTGGGGGCCAAGGCAGTGATTTCCTTCTGCATACGATCAGCAATGCCAGGGTACATAGTCGAACCACCAGAGAGGACGGTGTTGGCGTAGAGATCCTTCCTGATGTCCACATCGCACTTCATGATCGAGTTGAAGGTAGTCTCGTGAATACCGACAGCTTCCATGCCCAAGAAGCTTGGTTGATAGACGGCCTCAGGGCAACGGAAACGTTCATTGCCAATGGTGATGACTTGACCGTCAGGAAGCTCGTAGGATTTCTCGAGGGAAGAGCTGGAAGCGGCAGTAGCCATCTCCTGCTCAAAATCAAGAGCAACATAACAGAGCTTCTCCTTGATGTCACGAACGATTTCACGCTCAGCAGTAGTGGTGAACGAGTAACCACGCTCAGTTAGAATCTTCATGAGGTAGTCAGTCAGATCACGACCTGCCAAATCCAAACGCAGAATAGCGTGGGGCAAGGCATATCCTTCATAAATGGGGACAGTGTGAGTAACACCATCTCCAGAGTCCAAGACGATACCAGTGGTACGACCAGAGGCATACAGAGATAGCACGGCTTGAATAGCGACGTACATGGCTGGGCAATTGAACGTCTCGAACATAATCTGGGTCATCTTCTCACGGTTAGCCTTAGGGTTGAGTGGGGCTTCGGTGAGCAGAACTGGGTGTTCCTCGGGTGCAACACGAAGTTCGTTGTAGAAGGTATGATGCCAGATCTTTTCCATATCGTCCCAGTTGGTTACAATACCATGCTCAATAGGGTACTTAAGAGTGAGGATACCTCTCTTCGATTGAGCCTCATCACCGACGTAGCTGTCCTTTTGGCCCATACCAACCATTACACCCTAGAAGACAAAAATCTGTTTGAGAAAGGGCTAATCTAACATAAGAAGCAACAACTCATTCAACAGACCTGGTGTCTGGGGCGGCCAACTATTGAGGGGAAAACGGCACGAGGAGCATCATCTCCAGCGAAACCAGCTTTACACATTCCAGAACCATTGTCGACGACGAGAGCAGCAATTTCTTCATCACCCATTATTAGACAGAAGACGATGTTAGCACCAAGGTATACAGTTAACCAAATGAACGCAGCTCACATTATTTATATTCTTTCGTACTAGCCATATATGGTAAATAAGCTCAGCCAATTGGGTGAGTTGACCATAATTGTCGTGCGTGCATCAACCAATGCGAGTACTTCACTTGTGAGTGATTGGTTGGTTAATAGGTTAGTTGCAATGCGCGCTCTAACACTACACACAAAGGTAGGTATGAGAAACCGCGCTAGCCAAACACATCTGAGAGTTCTTCAATTTGTCTTTCTCTCATTTTAATCAGTTTTAGCGATCTAAATTAAATTTTGATTATGGATTACAAGCTGATAGCAAATCCTACTGAAATTAAGCTTATCATATAGCCTTTTAATAAAGCTTAGTATCATTTGGGGTGAGACTTGGCAGCTTAGACGACGAATTAGTTAAAATAGTATTTAGTTGTGTTGCGAAAAAGCAACAGTCAAGGGCTTTATAAATTCAGTTACCATGACTTCTGCTCCATTCCGTTTCCTTAGAAATTTGATGGATTTAAAAGGAAATAAAATTCCACCTGAAGAATTGCTTTTTTATTCTCGTCATTCTGTCTGGAAATGTGTTTGTTGTCCCAGTAAATACGTTAATTTTTATGCTTCAGTAAAAGTTTTAAAGGAAAAGGAAACTTTAGGGCGCAATTTCGATTAGATTTTGCCGTAAATTAAATTCACCTAAACAATACCTTATTTGTCTGCCAATTTATTACCTTCCTGGCGAAATAAATTTCGAACATCAAGCCCCTCTGAGGCTGACGCTATAATTCATCAAGTTGGTGGGCGTTATTGGCAGTATTTAGCCAGTTGATTCATCCATTATCTCTGAATCTACTACCTTACTTGTTTTATGCCACTTAATAAACAACAGGTAGCGGCTGAATGCCCTAATCTAATAGAGTAGATATCTGGTTTGTACACAATGTTCTTTAGTAAGACTTCTTTTCACCCATCTTGGCTATCATCCATTGGAATTTGTAGCCACGTTAATTGGTGCACTATATTTTTCCATTGGAACGATAATAGTAAGGACATAAGTAATACCAATTCAAACTAACTTCATCCTGGTTTGCAGCTAAAGTAGACTAATAATCCGTCAGTAAATTCATGTTGACGCGGATGTTCTTCCAGTTGCTTATCGATTTTCCATTTATCGATTCATTCATTTTCGTCTATTGTTTTTTAATACTTCAAGACTTCATGAAAGTTACATTTGCTGAATAGAACCACAACTGATGAAGTTAGAAATAGAAATTAGAGAAATTTATTCAAGCAAAATTAGTGCCAACTTGTTACATTTAGGACTTGTAACGTTTCAGTTGTTCTAGTAGATTGATTCATGCTGAATTGTTAGATTAAACTGGGTGGTTTATCGATTTGTATGCGCAAGTTCGCGCTTCTAGGCTCAAACAGATACCTAATTGTCACAATTTTTCGGAATAAGCCAGTGAATGATTCTACAGTTTTGTAGAAAAAATTGCTTAGTAAGATTAATGCACTTATTTAGCACAAAAACTTTCACATACACAAGTTTGCATGAGGCGAATTAGTGATCCATATCATAACGTCTTGGTTTTTCACCAAAAATTGTCAACGTGTTCTTTTTCTTTTAATTTTGGAACACATACTCATAAGGTCGTATACATGTGACAACCAGCGCTTAGTGATGTGTGAAATCCATTTAGGGTATTACCAAGACGGCATAGTAACAGGTCGTTAGACGAAAAAAAAAATTTTTGAGAAAATTTCTTTTTATTAAAAATTAGTGCAAAACGTGAATGACCATAAAATGAGAGAAAAGTGTGTATATCCTGTTTTAGCTTTAGGCTTTAAAGGATCATTAGTGCTGTTATATGCGAAAACAATGCAGATAAGTTTCTCTACCGAAATGTGATACTAGTAAATTCAGAAGATGATAAACTGGAAGGGAAAGATAAGATTTTGAAATTAATAGCGAGCAACACGGTGCCTTGTTACATTTATGAAAAAATTTCATTTGAAATAGTCTGTTATTACTTCAGAGAGGATTTCACCAAGAGTGTTTGAGCATATGTTAATCAACCATTTTTGAATTGAAGAAACAACGATTGAAATACAGTAAAGTTAAGTTTTCGTAAACATTCGTTGAAAGATGGAAGGCAAGATCAGCAATGAGAGTGGTTAATTTACAATGGACAGTGTAGAGTGCCGAAAGACAAGTACTTTCCTACAAAGTTGAATATTAAAAGGATTTCAATGTGACTCGAGTTATCTACCTTCTCACCCAAGTTCTGGACGAATTACTCAGGATAGTGAGGCCTCTGGAGGTATGGCGAAGCAAAATCAAGACATCCACTTTCTTATTGCAATAATAAATCCTGAAATTGCTTGAATTCGATCCATAATCTTTCTTCATAGTCTGCTTTCCTATATCAAATTAAACTCAATAGATTCAACTCAATTGATCCGTAAGAAGCTTGTAAGAATAGGAAACATATTTCACTGCATTGCCGATAATTGTTATTGATACTTTCGAAAATGACTTAAAATGTGCTCTTAGCAATAGCAGAGAGTTTCAAACTCGTACATTCTCGGACCAATTCGAAAAAAAAATCCAAAACCTCACTGGCAAGGTGAAGCATTAGCCAAGGGTCACAAGGACGATGAACATCCCCTGATAATAATTGCCAGTCCCACTTAAGGGTGGTGGAACTTGAGGCTGCCATAAGAGCGACTTCAGACAGAATAGGCTTAGTTAGTCATAACTTTTCACTGCATTCTCAATAAAATTAAGTCAGTTATGGAGCCCACAATGTTGCCATACACTTAGTTCATGTCTTTAAATTTGAGGTGACGTGGCCTATTCATCCACACCTAATTCAGAACTCTTGCCTGACTTTTAAATGTGCTTATCTCAACTTACACTTCCTATCGCTTTGGTCCACCATTTATTTCATTTTAACACCTTTGATCATCCAACTTCCATTCACTGGTTCCATTCGTAATTCTAGATACTATTTTAAAAGGTATGTAACTATGTGTGTTAGATAGGTATACTAAAACGAATTTGGCTAAACTAGTCAAACTGCAAGCAGTGTATAACCGTCGTTTCACATTTCGTTTAGGTACAATTTTCGTTGAAAAGTAAACACTCGCAGCTTGGCTTGTTTCAACTCCGCTATTAACTCCACCTTTAGCGTGGTTGAAGCTGATTTGCGTTTGAAAATGGACAGTTTGGATTTCCATGAGTGGGTGGGCTGCTTTAGGTACTTTTAAGTATCTATTTTCTTAATATTCGAGTGAACCTATTCAGGCGACTGGTGGTATTTAAATTTCAGGAAATATCGATTTTTCGCAACTAGCCATATACGATAAAGAGGGAATCGATTTAAACAGTTTTGTTTGTGTTTAGATTGGTGTGGTGACAGCACTACAAACTACGATTTAACGGACAAAGATGTCATAAATAGCAATCATTTTTTTCTTCGGTTTTACAGAAGAGCTTCCTTATGTATGCATATTAATTGAGAGAGGCCTAGATTGTTAAGTGGTAGGAATATGCAAATTGCGCGTCACGGGATCTGCCATCATAAGAAAATGGAAAAGAACAGCTCATTTTTGTGTGCCCTAGCGGTGCGCTAAATTGAGTTTTTTTTTAAAAAAGTAGAGCAGTTTATTTTAACAAACAGTGAGTAACTGTTGGAGCGCACCTTTTAGAACAACACATGATGCTCAGCACATTCTCTATGATACGTCTAAAAAATTTCCACAATCCGCAAACCATGAAATTTGTTAAATGTGCTTCACACTTAAATTTACTTGATTATTTACGTTTCTTTCTATAACAAATTGTCATCATCCCAGTCTTTAATGTCGGAATCTTACAGCTATCGTGTAATTTATGGAATAAATCAAGGTGTTGAATCAAACAGAGTTTTCACGAAGTATGAAATAAAATAACTTTGAGCTGTTATAAAATGCAAATGAGTTACTTCTCAGAATAACTTCGTTAAAAAAGGACATACAAATAAAGCATTTACATGAATTGTAAAATGAGAGAAATGAGAAATAAAATAAATGAAAAAGATGAGGATTCTGCGCCAGCATAAACGTTCAAAACAGCAGGGTTAACATATGGGTTACGTCCATCGTCGTAATTCATAGGACAGACGTCGAATTCATATTCATCCTCCGTCAATTCTAAGCGCAAAGATGCACCTTCTTCTGGGAGTGAGGACTCTGAAGTTTGCATTTTACCGCATCGATTACCTAAACTTCGGGACATTGAGAAGGAACGAAGTGAGAGTCTTTGATAAACCCAACAACGGAATCTGTTAGAAACCTAGAGAAGAAATAAGTGACAATACATAGACACAGCTACTGATAACTTTATAGTAGCCGCAATATTTTAACTTACAGGATCTTCACGATCGTATGTGATTAAATATGATTTGGTGTCTTCCATCCAAAATCCAACACATGCAATGTAATTGTCAGTTACGTCATATTCTGAGATAGGTCTACCAGCAAAGTCCAACCGCCAGCACTTTTGAACGTCGAGTTTAAGAATCTTTGGATCATTTAAACAAGCCTCCAGATTGGTTTGCCAATAGGAATAGCACAAAACTTGTAGCCATGGTCGAGGTGTCATTCCGTTAGGCATTTTGAACACATAATGTTCCGCTTCTTGCCCCGTCTGCACAAACTTATATTTGCCTTGAATAGGGCAGTTGATTGGGACTGGTGGGTCAAGTACAAAGTACTCATAGGTCCATTCAATATAATTAAGGGTGAAACTACTCCAATGACAAGCTTCTTTGTACACCCGTAGCATATACTCCGATTCTCCCAACGATGCTTTTACAAGTGGTTCGAGAGGAAATGGTCGACCCATTCTGAATCGAGCGATGTTATGATGACGTGGGACTAATTCGAAACACATAAAATCTATTTCACTACAAAACAAACCAATCTGAGTTTTTTTACACTGTCGACTTAAATTGTACATAAGTAGTATCAAACATTTACCATTGACCTCGAGTGACAACAGCCATGAGATAACGGGAAAGCTGTTGCTGACGACAGACGAAATATATATCTTCATAAGTGTAATCATCCTTCTTTCGGCGCATATAGATGTGAGTCGAGTTTATTTGAACCTATAATTGCAGGATAGAAAATCAAAAAAGATATGCCATACTTAAAAAATTAGCAATAAAAATTAAATTATACGTACTGAGGTTTGATACTCGCTGGGGTAGAACCAATTTCCACTGTAGTTGGTGGGGAGCTTACATGTTGGCTGCATTTCGACAAGCTGAGTTGCAGGATCAAAGGCCGGTTCCAGAATCAGCCGAATGGGAGCGGTAAAGTAGTTTTTAAGGTTCTTGCAATCTGCATCAACGGTCATACCTACCGTTTTTATCAAATAAAACCAAGCCTCTTTTAAGAAATTTACGTAGCAATTTTGCGTACTTAGTAAGAAGTCCGACCCATCTTTTATAATGTTGTAAAATTTAAGTTATTATACATTTTATATTTAAAGATAGGTGATTACAAATTTGACATGCAATGCTTTTAAAATACTCCTTTTACCAAATAACAAATGTTTTTATTCTGTGCCATTTTGAATTACCTTATTGAACGTCTATAACTAAACCAATGTATTCGAAATCAAAGAAAAGAGTGAAGTTACTAATTCGATTTAGAATTTTGCAAATGAATTTTCATACCTGATTGGAGTATTTATGCACTGTAAAAGCATAAATCATTTAATAATTGAAATTAAATTATGGGACATTATTGATTCAATTTAGTGAACAAGAAATTGTATAAAACTGAAATCTAAAAGTTTTTTAGAAGTAATATAAGTGGCTTAATTACCCCATTGAATAATATCCTGACGATTCTGTTGATCAATACGAGTTGTGAGACATCGATACTTGAATTTAGGCATATTTGTATCGTATTCCACAGCAGCCCACACTGTACCATCATCAGCAACCCATCTTGCATAACAACGCCAGATATTTGCCTTTCCATAGACGACATTTGGCTCCTGTAGAACGGAGGTTTCAAAGAAGTTTGGACAAAATCCAAAAGTCTGTTCGTATACAGAGTTATCGCGTAGAGGAGAGCCTTGTCGTTGGCAAGCTTTTAAAATGCTGTTGGGACTTCGACAGACACCAGTACTACCAACAATTCGGTATTCAAAAGAATATATTCCTTCAATGATACTCTTGCAATTAAATTCAGAATATTGCTCTCGGGAATTGATAAAACCGGTTTCGAGCTCGACACCAGTGATAAGATCACAGATTTCAGTAGCATTATGTCCTGCAAGAACGGGTTGGCACTGGCTTCTTCTATATTGAATAACATTTGCGCTTCTTGAAATCAGCTCGTAACAGAAATAACAGTCATTTGTCCTTAACTATATTAAAAGATAACGAACCATATTACCTGTTTTTGTAAATCACATTAACAGAATCAGTCTTATTAGCTACAACGGTTGTTGTTCTTAAAATTTGATGACAAGTGCCATTAAGTCTATCTACGTCCTGTGACAGTTCAGACTCCTTGATTGTCGTTAGTGTTTCTTTCCCATTTTCAATGCTATATAATGTTTTGACATAAATGGATGGTAATGAGCAGAATTGTGCATCCGCAGAGGAAAGGTTTTTAATTAAAATGACTTAAATAATTTTTATAAAATGATTCTTACTAAGTATAAAATATATATTTTGCATTTCCCTTGCTTTAAATATTTCATAGTACGCGCTATTGATAATTTGTACGCCAAGGTCGTTGAGAAATTAATAATAACCCCAATTAAAAATTGAAAAAATATTTTAAACGATTAAATTAAAATTAAAATGAAACTTCTTTCAAATATTGAAGATTTTTTATCATAATCCACTTTACAGGTGAATTTATAACTAATAGATTTCTAAAAGACAATGCGGCCAAAAAAACTAGCCAAAATTATTCCATTCCATATGATTTATTGGTTCTCACCGAGGGAATAGAACTTACTTGCATAAATTCCAGATGCTATTTCTACCAATAGACCAAATCGTCCTTTTAACTTTCTTAGAACGTCAAAATTGATATGATTGGCTTGACAGGCTTGATTTCTATCTTTTTCAAGAAATTAAAAAATTCTTATACGTAAATTTCTAAAGTGTTTAAACATGAAAATTTCATATGGTTATCATCTATATAATTCTTCATAATAAATTCGGACTTAATAATATATTCAAAGTTTGAAAACGCATATGGAAAAACATAATAGTAAGACTAATGTTATAAATCTAAAATGACAAATTTTGCTCCATGCTCAATTGCCGCATATGTGAGTCTCGACTATTTATTGGAATTTTGAATGGTCTGTTCATCACAAGGCAGGAAATCAATTATTCGGTTTTCATGTATAATGAATTAAAGGTAAATAACTCGAAATAGACAATCGTTCAAAAAACCCTTGGCAATCGCTGCTGCAAAATTGTGACTGCTAAAAAGATTATTACGAAACCTCAATTGGACTTTTTCAGATGTGCGGTTTTTTCTAACACTAGTCTAAAGACGAATTCATGATAAATGAGTGCTATAGGCAAGACGATGTAAACGAATGGATTTAATGCTCATTTATTTTTAGAAAAAGATTATATTTTACTTTGATAATATTCCCGTTGTATTGTCTTGCCAGAAAATAAATGACTGCATGTGCTTATAAAGAGATAAGAAGCAAAAAGGCTCAGAATTCAACATAAAAGCAGAAAATCAATGAAGATCAAATAGCTTTTATTTGAAATAGAAAAAAGCTGGTCTAGGTTCTAAAACATTAATAATTAAACGTATTTATTCATAGTAGAAAGTTTGGACTAAAATTAACAGCGTTGAGTGTTATAATATTTTATTAGATTTTCTTGAGAGTCACTAATTAATTACGGATTAGATTTGAGCGATTATATTTACCTTTAAATAATGACTTCTCACTTCTCCTTATTTAATATCTTAATATTTTCCCTTATTCAGCGATATGTGTATAAGAGGGTTAATTGCTACCAATATAAATAAATATTTGACTTTATTATGGAAATAAATGTACACTAAAATTCATTTTCAAATTAATAAAACATAAAATATAGAATTTCTGGACTGTATAATGAATAGTCTTTTTTAATTCTAATGAATTAATTTTGGAGGTCGAACTTTTGCGCCAACGCCCTTATAACCCCTGTTTTTTAGTTACGGTAATTTGTCATAATTGGAATTATTACATTGCATGCAAAATTATCACAAAACTTTGGGTTTAAACTTTGGTCATCGAGCTTTTTAAATCTATTCTTGCACCGTTTCCGTAAAATCTTTCTTTGTATTTATTGAGGAAAATTATTTTCAGATGAGTGTGAAAAGAACGACCGATATACCTTTGGTGAGCTTTTCCAACGGTTCGAACAGTTCCAATGCCAGCGATGATAAACAGGTTCTTCCTCGTGACATGTCGACTGAGCTTCATGTAAGATAATATTTAGAAACTGAAAATACTATTGTTACATTTTATTTTGATTTAATTTATTACCAACAGGAATATGAAATTATCGCTCCTAGTGGCATTCCTTTGCGTGTCTATCATCAACCAGGGACATCCAAGTCTGCTATTCTTACTTATCACGATATTGGCACAAACCGTAATTATTGTTAAAATATTTGATTTTTATATGCAAAAAATTCATCTTCATTTTTTAAACTGATTAGTTTTTTCATATTGAAAATTAGTTAAATCATTAAATGCCTCTTCTTTACCATTTCGGAGCTTGATTTTATTCATATCACTTTGATAAAGAAATTATAAGTCGTAATTTACATTGAATTTCTCTGTAAAGATACCTCATTTCTTGGATTTTTTGCCTACCCTGAAATGAGAGTAATTTTGCGAAATTTCAACATCTATCATGTCTGCGCTCCTGGACATTATGAAAGCGCTGATGATATTGTTTCTCCGTAAGTTCGTCTTTTTTACATCAGATATATAAAGCAAACTTGTCTATTTTCATTATTTTTTCCAATTACAGTTCGTCAAGTGAATCTAGTGGTGGCTTCTTAAGCAGTCTTTGGAGTTGGGGTAGCAGGTGCGTTAAACTTTTTTTTATTAGCTACACTTTACTATAGTTTGCCGTCTATTGTCATTGAACCATTGGTTTGCATGCTTCTTCCCACTGCACGAATTTTATGCTAAACGCCTTCCTTGACTCCTCTCTCCAATCACTGAAGCGTTGAATAATTGCATTTAAAAATCAGTTACCCACCTCGTATTATGCGCAAGTTGTCTGAATGGATGTGGCATTGATTGTTTGGCCATTTTAACTAGAATTTCACTATTTAATCACTAGAATTATGCGCTCGCCTTTAAGGTGGAACTTGACACCTCTGATGAACTTGGCTTGTATTTCGGGTTTCCGAAATTTAATCAATTCAATTTGTTGTATTTTGTTATTCAGATGTTGGATTTTCATATTTCATTTCTTTTCAAAGAATAACTACTCAACATTTAGTCTCTATTGGTATGCAGGCATGGTTATGACACGTTTTCACTCCTTTTCTGTCTCTTTTCCCGATTAATATTCCAGTTATCACACCCTCGTTCTGCCTAATTTAACCTTACAAGGTCATTGTATATCCATATATATATATTTATCCTATTTCATTGATAAATTAACCATATTCGCAAGTTTAACTATTTGGTCCTTAAAGTTCAACGAGACCTTTGCACCAAATAAATACGCATATGGATATGGATTATTGGTAATGCTTTCTTTTAACGATGAAAATATTATGTTTAACCATATCAGAGAGCATATGAAATTCAACGGCTGTTACTTTAAAATCGATTTTTTTAATGTTGAGAGGATTGGTGAGTTTTTGGGTTGACTAAGCGGATTGGTTTAGAATTGAATTGCTCCATTTATTCTCCTCGGACACGATGTCGCTTTCATGGGGTTTAGTTATGTTGTCAATTCGCAACTGCGATTTTTTGGCAATAACTGTGGATGAGACACTTGTTGTATATACGTAATACATTCTAATTTTGAGTTTCGAATGCGTGTTGTTGGTATTGTGCCTTTTAATCTCATTGGTGCACGCGAATACTTGGCCCGAAGGCGGTTTTTCCCCCTTAGGCAATCGATTGGTGAAAATTCTACTAGATTTTATATATGAATTAGAATTTCAGTGTCATGTAAAACTAACGGTAAAATGTGCAGTGCTGTCAATACTCAGGTCACCACAGGCCATGCTGCGTTTGCTTAACATAATGCCTTTAGGATTCTGGAACATAAACTCGATTTAACAGGGCGGTTAACCTTAGAAATTTCCAGAGATATTATTAGCGGAGACACCTTATTGGTTCTCATAATATGATTGTTGATGCTATTAAATGTATCACTTGATTTGAACTAAGGCTAAACAGTAGACAAAACATTTTTTTTTGCTTTGAAAGCATAATTTGTTACTCCAGTTAAAATTTATTTATTTATTTCAAATGGCAGGCGTTTTGATAGCTATCATTAGCCCTTTAATTGACTTCGGGCTTCACAGAGGGAAAGTTCATCGAAGTAGCAGAAAGTCGAGGGGTGGGGAACAGAAGAGCGATTCACTCCAGTTAAAATGATCATTGCGACCCTAATCGCGTATTAATTTTGAACTTATCGACGTTCCACAGCTCTCTTTTGTCTGCGCAGTTTTATTCCCCATTCTTATTAATTTCTGAAGGGGCGCACCTCTTGATTAAACCTTGGGATTATAGTTATACCTAGCATTGACTTCTTAA